CCGAACCTAAAAATGTCAGCAAATATAATTGACGAAATTTTTCGCAAATCGCATTTTAAATTTTTCCCATGTTAACCCTATGGGAAAATGCACGTGCCGATTACCCCAAAATGGGCCATTATATTTCATAACGAAGCATAACAACATGTTCTATGGTCGTTTCTCAACAGGTCCTGAAAGTTTAAACAAAATCGTATCATATAATTTTGTGCAATGAACGAATGAAAATGTCTCTGCAAAAACGTCCATTGACTTAGCATGGGGAGCAAAAAAAGTTCAACTTCAAACTCGTGCAACTCAAGTTAACGAATTCTGACGGGTATACGGCGTACACGGGCGTGTACCTGAATGTGTTGGCCATAAAATGGTATGCAGCAAACCATACCTTGATCGGCGATTTTTTCCGCTATTCGCGATCGCGCAAAAAGTGTCCAAAACCCCATTGACTTAACATGGGCGAAAATTGAAACGCACGTGCCACGTGCCACGAGGTTTTAAGCGAGTAGCGACCGGTGCCATCAGGTAGATCGCCTGCTGGAGCCCATACCCTGAAATTTTTGCGAAGATTGAGCGATTCGTTTAGGCCAGACTCAAGTTGCCCCAATTCGCGGCCAGACATGCAAAACATAGCCCGGAGAAGGACCGCTCCGGTTGTTTTTCAATAGAAAAACACAATTCTAACGAATAGTGTTTGTCAATGAAGAAACAACCTGCGGTTACCAGCATCTGCGATGCTGGGCTCCGCATCGCGGGACCGCAGGTTGTTTGAGCAAGCACCTTTGTAAACGCAGCAAAAACGCCCGCCGCCAAACGAGAGGATCAGCCTTGCAAGTGCAGACCGGAGTCGGTGTGCTACGGACTGACGTGCACGGCACCCTATTCGCCGGTCTATAGCGGTGTGCCAAATTTGAGTGCAATCGACCCGGCCGTTTTCGAGATCTGGAAGCGACACCCTGCACGTGCGCACGTGCAGCCTGGGCCCCAACTGACTTGTGCACGGCACTCTATTCGCCGGTTTCTAGCGATGTACCAAATTTAATCTGAATCGGCCAAGCCGTTTCCAAGATCGGGAAACGACCCCTACACGTGCGCACGTGCAGCTGCACCCCAACCGCGGCACATGAAAATACATACTTACTGACTTGTGCACGGCACCCTACTAACTAGTCTCTAGTGGTATGCCAAATTTGAGCACAGTCGGTCCAGCCGTTCTTGAGATATGGAAGCGTCAGCCTGCACGTGCGCACGTGCAAATTGGGTCCCATCTGAGTTGTGCACGGCACCCTACTCGCCGATCCCTAACGGTGTGCCAACTTTGATCACAATCGGCCCAGCCGTTCTCGAGATCTGGAAGCGTCACCCTGCCCGTGCGCACGTGCAGCGGCACCCCAACCGTGACACATGGAAATGCATTGCACGGCGGGTGCCTACATCCATGCCAAGGATCAGCGCAATCAGCAAAATAACTACAGAGTTATTACACTTGCTACCGAACTGACACCTCTTCGTTTTGCACGTGGCACGTGCATTAGGGGTCACCCATACGCATCGAGAGTAGCACACTACGTGTGAGAAAGGAAGAAGCTATCTCACTCAAAAGACCGCGAGTGAATCGGTCCAGTGGTTGCAGAGATATAAGGTTTGTAAAGGCGCCCCCACGGCGGCCGACTGCTAATATTTAGCAATAATCAGTGTCGCATCCGCACACGGGAGGTATCCCCGTCACCTGTTCGTATAGTCTAATGTGGTTGGGTTCAAATAACAGTCGAGCCCTGCTTTTTTACAACTTTTCTTGAAAACGGCACACCGTGCAGTGACGTTCTATACATCAATTGAAAGAGCATCGAAAGTTGTATATTTTATTAACTTTTCACTTTGGTATATCTGCAACGTAAAAAGTTATTAAGCAACAAAGACGCTCCCATTGACTTTCCATGTTAAAAATTTTAAATTTCAAATGAACTTTATAAGAAAAAATGAGTTTTGCCAGCTTAACGAAGCATAACGGCATGTACTATGCTCTTTCCTCTACAAGATATAAGAGTTTGGGCGAAATCTATCTCTAAAATTTTGTACAAAGATCGAATGAAAATGTCTCTGCAAAGTCTCGGCATCGCCGTCCATTGACTTAACATGGGACACAGCAAAATTCCAACTTTGACCTCGTGCAAAGACACGTTCCGAGATTCTGAGGGGTATACAGCGCACACTGGCGTGTACCCAAACGTGTTTGCCATAAAATGCTGGGAAGAAAACCACCTCTTCCTTGGCTCGTTTTCCCGCCATTGGCGATCGCGCAAAAAGTGTCCAAAACCCCGTTGACTTAACATGGGGAAAATGGAATCGCACGTGCCACGCGCAAAAGACTTCTTAGCGAGTACCGACCGGTGCCATCAGGTAGATCGCCCCCGGGAGCCCATACACTGAACTTTTTACCAAGATTGAACGATTCGTTTAGGCCCCACCCAAAATGTCTCGATTCGCGGCCAGACTTGCAAAACATAGCCCGGACAACGACCGCTCCGGTTGTTTTTCAATAGAAAAACACAATTCTAACGAATAGTGTTTGTCTTTTCAAACAACCTGCGGTTACGGCCAGACTTGCAAAACATAGCCCGGACAACGACCGCTCCGGTTGTTTTTCAATAGAAAAACACAATTCTAACGAATAGTGTTTGTCTTTTCAAACAACCTGCGGTTACCCGGCATCTGCGATGCCGGGCTGCGCATCGCGGGACCGCAGGTTGTTTGAGCAAGCACCTTTGTAAGACCGGAGTGGGTGTGCTAAAAACTGACGTGCACGGCACCCTATTCGCCCGTCTAGAGCGGTGTGCAAAATTTGGGTGCAATCGGCCCGGCCGTTTTCGAGATCTTGAAGCGGCACCCTGCACGTGCAAGCTAGGTCCCAACTGACTTGTGCACGGCACTCTATTCGCCGGTCTCTAGCGGTGTACCAAATTTAATCGCATTCGGCCCAGCCGTTTCCAAGATCTGGAAACGACCCCTACACGTGCGAACGTGCAGTTGCACCCCAACCGTTGCACATGAAAATACATACTTACTGACTTTTGCACGGCACCCTACTAACCAGTCTCTAGTGGTATGCCAAATTTGAGCACAGTCGGTCCAGCCGTTCTTGAGATATGGAAGCGTCAGCCTGCACGTGCGCACGTGCAAACTGAGTCCCATCTGACTTATGCACGGCACCCTACTCGCCGATCCCTAACGGTGTGCCAAGTTTGATCACAATCGGCCCAGCCGTTCTCGAGATCTGGAAGCGTCACCCTGCCCGTGCGCACGTGCAGCGGCACCCCAACCGTGACTCATGGAAATGCATTGCCGGGTGCGTGCCGACATCCATGCCAAGTACCAGCGCAATCGGCAAAATAACTACAGAGTTATTAGACTTGTTACTGAAACTGACTTCTCTCCGTTTTTCACGTGGCACGTGCATTAGGGGTCACCCATACGCATCGAGAATAGCACACTACGTGTAAGAAAGGAAGAAGCTATCCCACACAAAAGACCGTGAGTGAATCGGTCAAGCAGTTGTGGAGATAGAAGCTTTGCAAGGCGCCCCCACGGCGGCCGACTGCTAATATTTAGCAATAATCAGTGTCGCATCCGCACACGGGAGGTATTCCCGTCACCTGTTCGTATACTCTAATGTGGTTGGGTTCAAGTCACAGTCGAGCCCTGATTTTTACACTTTTTCTTAAAAACGGCACATCGTGCAGTGACGTTCTAGGCATCAGTGGAAAGAGCATCAAAAATTGTATATTATATGACCTTTTCACCTATATATCTTACTAATGATAAAAGTTATAGAGGAATAAAGAAACTCCCATTGACTTTCCATGTTAAAAATTTTCATTTTCAAACGAACTTTATTAGAAAAAACGATTTCTGCCAGCTTAATGAAGCATACCAGCATGTACTATGCTCCTTCCTCTACAAGATATAAGAGTTTGGGCAAATTCTATCTCTAAAATTTTGTACAATAAACGAAAGAAAATGTCTCTGCAAAGGCTCGGCATCGCCGTCCATTGACTTAACATGGGACACAGCAAAATTCCAACTTTGACCTTGTGCATAGAGGTGTTGCGAGATTCTGGCGGGTATACGGCGCACACGGGCGTGTACCGGAACGTGTTTGCCATAAAATGCTGGGAAGAAAACCACCTCTTCCTTGGCTCGTTTTCCCGCCATTGGCGATCGCGCAAAAAGTGTCCAAAACCCCGTTGACTTAACATGGGGAAAATGGAATCGCACGTGCCACGTGCCACGAGATTCTGGCGGGTATACGGCGCACACGAGCGTGTACCCAAACGTGTTTGCCATAAAATGCTGGGAAGAAAACCACCTCCTTCTTGGCTCGTTTTCCCGCTATTGGCGATCGCGCAAAAAGTGTCCAAAACCCCATTGACTTAACATGGGCGAAAATTGAAACGCACGTGCCACGTGCCACGAGGTTTTAAGCGAGTAGCGACCGATGCCATCAGGTAGATCGCCTCCGGGAGCCCATACACTGAACTTTTTACGAAGATTGAGCGATTCGTCTAGGCTGCGACCAAGTTGCCCCAATTCGCTGCCAGACTTGCAAAACATAGCCCGGAGAAGGACCGCTCCGGTTGTTTTTCAATAGAAAAACACAATTCTAACGAATAGTGTTTGTCTTTTCAAACAACCTGCGGTTACTAACAGGTCCCGATTTTCACGGTTTTCGGGTCATTGACCTGACCTGGAAGGTCAACCGATGACCTAGCCTAGGACCTTAAGATTGGATATCATCGGTTTCACTTTCCTCTCGTGACGGGCAACACGCTCTTTTTTCCGTGAAGCTCTAGCTCGATCAGCGGCCCGCTAAACGCGAGGGGGGGTCGTACCAGCCCCCCTTGTGCCGTCGAAGGACGCAAATGGAATGTGACGGCGAGAGTTTAATTACAAAAGGCTGAATTTCAACATTGCATGCCACTGCCAGTGAATTCGCATGCCCACACCAAGACTTTCCGGAGTGAATGTGTTATTTCAGAATATGGATTTGATGCTATTTTGACGAGGGTAAAACGTTCAAGAGTGGCGCTGTGCTGCGTCATAAGTGGCGCACACACGCCGGTTGTTTTTGTTTATAGTTTATATTTACACGTTTTGAGAGCTGTGGGATTGTTTCGTGTGTTTTCTTTCTAGTCGGTTGTTTTTGATAATTTCACTTACAGGAATTATCTTTTCGTGTACATTTACTTCCAGTGAATGAAGGAGGTACGCAACATGAGTGAAATTTTAGAGGCCCCAGCGAAAAAGCCAAAGCTGCAAGAGGAAGACGAGCAAGATGGATCTGAACCATCTGCATTAAAAAGTAAGCCTTTTATCATCATTTAAAGAAATAAAAACATATCATCGCATTCACTAACAATTTGTACTTTGTAGGGACCCATTTTTAAATTAAGCTCCATGTTGCGCTGCCCATAATATGTTTGTGCTCATTGAAGACGCAAAATTCCAGCCACTATATGCATTTTTAGCATCATGTGAGCTGTGTTTCCATCTGGGCTGGTGTGTCTTTTGATCATGGTTCCTAAAATTTACTTCTACTAGATTTTCTAACCATGTTTTGGGCTTGGGCTCAGAACAGAAATGGGAACCAAACTATGTGAGTTGACCTGGTGAGTCAAATGTTTGAATGGACAGATTGACAGGGCTGGAGCCTACACTAAGCAGAGCTTATTGCGTAGACCCCAGCCACTACCTACCCTACTGTCTGATCATGCAGTTCCAGATGACAGGAGAATTTAGCTGCGCAAGTTAATGTGCCCTTCAAGACGGGACACAGCCTGTCCCACTTCACTGACTTCAACTGGCTGCGGTTGAGGTTGGCGGTTGCGTTATGAGTCAGATCATGAGTCAGATCTTGAGCACTAGAGTGACTTGAACCAGGGTTCTCAATACCAGGAGCCCAACACTCGTCCAAGTTCCAACTGAGCTATGGGACAGGCAAATCATTGTTGAAATTGTTTGTGTACCTTTCAGATCAGTAACACAATGCTTTTTATATGGGGAAAGGGATTCAGGATTGAAAAAATTGAACATCTAATAAATTAAATGTACCTATTTATGTGGCTCAATAATTTCACTAATAATATAATTTCACAATTAACTTCAATAATGAAATGCATGCAGCCAAACTTTTGCAGTAAAGATGGCAAGTCAGAACAGCCAAGGGATAAGTTCAGTACAGACTCCATTGATCAAGCTGCATCAAGCAAATTTGACAATTCATGACATGGAATATGAAAGGCTGAATATGATAAGAAAGATATGATATAAGAGGTAATAAGATATAATTCAATAGAATAATTTAAGTTTTTGGTATTGTAGGTATTTCAGAATTATTATTACGTTGCAGGCTGAGGTTACAAGCACAACCAAAGCTGCAGAGTCAGAGTCAGTGGGACTCGACAGGTGTGACAGGAGTGTGGAGTCAGAGCTGAATTTGTAAGCCAGACTTGGAGTCAGAGTCACCAAAAAAGCAATGAGTCAGTCAGAATCTACAATTCTAACCTGAGTCAGTTTATTTTTGGAGGCCAGAGTCAGTCATGAAAAATTCACCAACTCAGCCGTCTGCAGTCCTTACCACAACAGGCAAGCGAGATACCGAGGTTGGAGCAGCAATGTTTGTTGACAAGATCTTGATCAAGCATGCTTATATTGAATAGGTATGATTTTTGTTTTTGTTTTTACCCCGACAGAGAAGATACCTAACATGAATGACTGCCAATTGTCTTATTTTCTATCCACAGTGAGGACTCATGCCCACTACTGACAGCAAACTACCATTCACTCCCTATTGAGAATGTCAGTAATCACCTGTTCCATACATCTTTGACCCAAAATCCCCCCCCTTTTATTCAGAATGTCTGCTGTGATAGCTTTATTTTTTATCTGACTTGTCTCCCTATTTGCTGTCTGACTGAGTTTAGACACATGTTTGTCTGTCCACCGTTCTTTTCGTCCTTTCCGATTCCGACCAGCCGGCGCTCAGCGGCCCTGGTCATGTGGGGCAATGTGTGGGTCATATGTCACCGCCCTTTGCCGACGGTCGCCTTCGTACCCGAGCAGTGTCATTGAGTGGTCCATGCAGTTCTGTGAACCCGAGCAGTTCCGTGAGTGTCGCCAGGACGAGGATCTGACAATCCACTTCCTGGCAATAGTGAATACATCAACCGATAACAAGTGTGTCCACCGCGAATCGCGATACCGAAACCGAACCGAACATAGTAGGTTTTACCAATGCACGTCATAATTGTTACGCCACCATTGACAACCAATTTGCATTATGTTGCCATTAAAAAACTCACCTACCCTACACTGTTCCTCATAAAATTAAAAAAGATCTTATCTTCAGCTTTATCGAATGCAGTTACCCATTCATTACTGACAACCAATTATCATCCTCTCTTCATAGAGGAAACATTTAGCCAGCATTATTAACCACCAATTGTCATCTCTCTCTCCCCCTCAGAGAAGACTCCAGAGACCAAGCAGGCGAAAGAGTGCCCCTATTTGGACACCATCAATCGTCATGTTCTGGACTTTGACTTCGAGAAGCTCTGCTCGGTCTCCCTGTCCCGGATCAACGTCTACGCCTGCCTCGTCTGCGGCAAGTACTTCCAAGGTGAGGGGATTGTTCTGTGTTCAGCCTACTTCGTCTGCGGCAAGTACTTTCAAGGTGAGGGGATCTTCGAGCCTGCCTGGTCTGTGGCAAGTACTTCCAAGGTGAGGGGATAGTTCAGTCTGTCTCGTCTGCGGCAAGTACTTCCAAGGTGAGGGGATCGTTGAGTCTGTCTCGTCTGCGGCAAGTACTTTCAAGGTGAGGGGATCGTTGAGCCAGGAGCCTGCCTGGTCTGTGTCAAGTACTTTCAAGGTGAGGACTATTCAGCCTGCCTCGTCGGCGGCAAGTACTTCCAAGGTGAGGGGGTTGAATGTTCAGTCTGTCTCGTCTGCGGCAAGTACTTCCAAGGTGAGGGGATAGTTCAGTCTGTCTAGTCTGCGGCAAGTACTTCCGAGGTGAGGGGATAGTTCAGTCTGTCTCGTCTATGGCAAGTACTTCCAAGGTGAGGGGATTGTTCAGCCTACCTCGTGTGCGGGAAGTACTTCCAAGGTGAGGGGATAGTTCAGTCTGTCTAGTCTGCGGCAAGTACTTCCGAGGTGAGGGGTTGTTCAGCCTACCTCTTCTGTGGAAAGTACTTCCAAGGTGAGGGGATCGCTGAGCCCACAGTGTATATATGTAAATAGTTGAGCCTACCTCGTCTGTGGAAAGTTCTGGCGAGGAGATTGTTCGGTGTACGTTTTCTTTGACTACTATGCCGGCTACACGTACTCTGATATTTCTACTGTCTACGAAAGCATTCACTATGCCACACTGTTCATAACGAAACACTTGGCTTCGCCTGCTCGCTCGAAAAATCTCGCCTCGCGCTCGCCCGTAATATTTTTTCGCGTATCTACGAAAAACTTTATTTCGCGCTCGCTCGTAAACCCACCCATTCCCGTCTGTCTGTTTTACAGGGCGAGGTCTCAGTACCCACGCCTACACCCACAGTGTCAGTGAGGGACACCACGTCTTCCTGAACCTGCAGACGCTGAAATTCTACTGCCTCCCAGACCAGTATGAGATCATCGGTAAGATCATAGTTGTGTGTGATTAGATCATAGATAGAATTAGAGAATCAAATCATAGGTAAGATCAGAGGTCTGCATGTAGGTCGGTATGAGAGCATAGCTTAGATAATAGACGAGGTAGATCGTTGGTAAGATGAGAGATTTCTGAGATCGTAATCAATCACTGAGATATATTATATTTTAGTATTGGGTCATAGGTGAGAATAGCTCTATCTGTATGTCAGTGTTGGATCATAGGTAACATCAGTGATAAACTTGAATGCTGATTTCTCACAATATTTTTGTAGCTGGCGATCTACTACGTATCTACGTAACAAATTCGACCCAGCATTCACAATGCACAAACTCCCCCCCCCCCCTCCCCCAGATTCTTCACTGGAGGATATCAAGTATGTACTGAATCCCACCTTCGAGAGATCTGCCATCGCCCGTCTGGACACACAGGAGTCGCTATCTCGGGCGTATGATGGGTCAAATTACCTACCGGGGACGGTTGGGCTTAACAATATCAAGGCAAACGACTACTGTAATGTCATCTTTCAGGTGAGTGAGAGGGAGGGAGCGAGGGAACGGAGGGAACGAAACGAAACGGAACGGAAGGAAAGGGAAGGGAGGGGAAGGAGAGGTAGAAAGAGGAGAAAGGCTGGATTGACGAGAAAAGGAGAATATCAGAAGAAGGGAGAGGAGTAGGGGTGAGAGTTGAAAGACAATGAATGAGATTAGGCAGGAGGTGGTAGATGCTAGACGAGCCGAGGTATGGATGTAGATGAAGAGTCAGAGGGTAAAGCAGGATATTGGGCGAGGGGGCGAAAAAAAGTAGAGAGAAGCTGCCGTATGATCTTGGATTATAACCAAATAACCGACATTTACGGGCTGACATTTTATTGTACCCGACAGAGACTATCTGCTGGGCAAGTTCATTGTGTTACTACCTCCCCCCGTTTCAGGCGCTCTCTAATGTTGTCCCCATCAGGGACTATTTTCTGGACGAGTCCATTATGACACTACCTCCCCCCGTTTCAGGCGCTCTCCAATGTTGTTCCCATCAGCGACTATTTTAGGGACGAGTCCATTATGATATTTTCCCCCTCACTTTCAGGCGCTGTCCAATGTTGTCCCCATCAGGGACTATTTCCTGGACGAGTCCATTATGACACTTTGTCATTACTCCCCCCCGTTTCAGGCGTTGTCTAATGTTGTCCCCATCAGGGACTATTTTCTGGACGAGTCCAACTACAGCGCAATGAAGCCTCCCCCGGGAGACAACATGTTCCTTCTCGTACAGAGGTGAGATATTAGATATTCCTACTTCATCAGCACAATCATAGCTTTGGAATGAAAGCTCTTATTGGATTATTGGAGACTCGAAAAAGGTCGGACGTGTTTTTGATCGTCCCGTTATCTTTTGCCCGTTTCGCGTAACTGATCAGCTTTGTGCATAAAAAATGATATCGAAGTGCTCGTAATTTAACGTGGCATAATTTTGTGATATTTTGAATGACTGAATATGTAAAGTGATAAAGATATAAGCTTTTGAAAAGTATAATATTTTCAGTAAAATTCATCAATTTCGAGTAGTCGAGTCTCGCCTACATTGCTCGATTTTTCGTTGTTGATCGCGTGCTTTAAGCTAAGCACTCCCTTCGCTCTTCTGACGTCAACGGGGGAATACCATGATCAGTTCAGACGGAACTGAAGATTCTGACTGCTCAGTCTCTGGGTACGACCCATCCAGTAACGAGTGGGTTCGTGTCAGCAGAAGAAAACACCGTAACAAGATAAGGCAGCACATGATCAGTGTTGGGACTTCTTGTGACATTCCTGACACAGAAAATGGACCCATGATCTGCGATACTTGCAAAGTCACTTTGGACACACCTGTCACGAAAGTGGAGAAGAAAGTACGTGATTGCAAAGTGGAAAAGAAGTTAACTCCAACAGTGGCACTGATAGATGAGATGGACGTTGTTAGTCAGTCTCTGCACGATCACAAACATCAGCTGAAGATTGCTATAGAAACACAAGCAAAGGTAGCTGAGGCTATCCAGCGCGGACAGCAAGACCTAGAAAGAGTAGTGCAAAGCCAAGCAAAAATGCTGGAGCATATGATAGAAAAACACAACGACAGTCAGCTCTCCTGCATCGCCCAGGTGTCTGGACTCTGTGACGCCGTTGTTGACGTTACGGGCGCGAGGCTAGAGTCCATGACAAATGAGCTGCGCAAGATGTCTGCAAATGTAAGTGACTTATCGGCCCAGGTAGGCCGCCTGGAACAGACCACTCAACGACCAGCTTCGCACGTCGTACATCGCATGGGAACGGAAGAGTCAGCTGATGAACGTGCCGCATTTGGTTCAAAAGCGATTACTCGACCCCAGCAGGACATTTCCAAGACACAAGAGCAGGATTCTGCAGCGACACGGCAGCAGATCGTCGCGATGTTTGATGAGCATCTAGATAGAGAAAAGCGAAAGAAAAACGTGGTTGTCTTCAACTTGCCGGAATCCACAAGCGAGACTGGCAGAGACAGAATGAAAGATGATCTGACCAAATTTACCGAGGTCGTACGCGAAGAGCTGCGTCTGATCGTGACACCCGTGCGGTGTTTCAGAGCTGGTAAGCGGCAGGACACTAGGCCGCGACTATTAATAGTGACGCTCGAGAGTGAGGCGAACAAATGGGATATTCTACGCGAAGCCAGTCAGCTGAAGCACTGCAGGTTTTCTCCAAGAATATTCATTAACCCAGATCTGTCAGCACAGGAGCGAGCGGAGGGAAAACAACTGCGTGATGAGCTAGCCCGAAGGAGAGCTGGTGGCGAGCTGAACCTAGTCATTCAAAGAGGAAGAATTGTACAAAGCAGTACGAGAAGACAGCTCCAACCAAGAACCACCAATGGACAGACAACATCGATGGGAAGTGATCATCCTTCTAACTGTGATGAAGTGTCACGTACGTCTTCTGGAAGGTGCATAGCTGGCGCTGCTGATGGAAGTCGTCCTCGTGCCTTATGATGTCAGTCAAGTAAAACCAGATCATTCGGCAAAGTGATCCATATACTTTACACAAATGCGGATCAATTTCTTAACAAAAGGGATGAGCTGTGCATGGAAATCGCAGGAAATGAGCCGGACATAATTTGTATTTCAGAAGTTATCCCTAAAGCGCAAACTGTACCTATTAATCCTGCTTTTCTTCAAATCCCAAGATACACCATGCACCTGAATTTCTCTCCAGCCCAGTCTGATCTGGGAGCCAGTGGACTCCGAGGTGTCATGATATATTGTGCCGAACACCTCAAAGTCGGGGAATACTATCCGAAGACGAACTTCAGAGAGCAATTATGGATTGAAGTTGGTCTTGCTGGCAATGATACATTGCTAGTAGGCTGCATCTATAGAAGTCCGTCGACGGATGCATCAAACACCAAGCAGCTCAATCAACTATTTCGGGAAGTAGAGGCAGCGAATCCGTCTCACTTGCTCATAGTGGGGGATTTCAACATGGGTGATATAGACTGGGAATTAGGTTTCAGCAGAGCTCCACGCAACCATTACAGTCACGAATTTCTAGAAGTCGTAAGAGATTGCTATCTCCACCAGCACGTGCTGCAGCCTACAAGGTTTCGGCAAGGAACTGTCCCAAGTCTGCTCGACTTAGTGTTTTCCAATGAAGAGAATATGGTCAAACGGTTGGGAACGAGACCTGGTTTGGGTTGCAGCGACCATGTGATGCTGGAATTTCAGCTTGAATGCTACTCTGCCCCAGAACGTAGTTCTGTCAACAAGCGAGTCTTGTATAAGGCTGACATGCCAAAAATGACGGCAATGCTGTGTAGTACATCATGGACTGAGATGAACTCTATCGACGCTGATGCTTTTTACAATTGTTTTATTACGAAACTCCGCCATGCCATTGACACTTGTGTTCCGGTCAAAAAGTCGTTTGGCCAACATCGCAACATATACATGAACCAACAAGCCCTTTGTATGAAGAACAGGAAACAAAAGATGTGGCTCAGATACGTACTTCATCAGGACTCTGAAAGTTATGCTCGTTACGTCAGATCCCGAAATGACCTTCGCTGCTTGACTAGGTCGCTTCGTTTTTCATACGAGAAAAGGCTTGCTGCAAACATAAAAGAAAACCCGAAAGCCTTTTGGCATTACGTTAGCAGCAGAACAAAGACAAAGGCAAGAGTTGCCAACCTGCGGATGAATCACGGAGCTGAGCCTGATATCACAGATGATGGCAGCAAAGCAAGCATCTTAAACCAAGTGTTCTCCAGTGTGTTTACGGTTGAGGATCTGTCATCAATACCGCATCCTGCATCAACATGGACTGGTTCAGTACTGGATCACATCAGTGTTACTCCTGGCTTAGTTGAAGCCAAACTTCGTCAGCTGAACCCGTCGGCGGCACCGGGGCCTGACGGCTTGCACCCGAAGATACTTAAAGACCTTGCAGGCCCACTCAGCTTCCCACTGTGTGTCCTGATCAACAAGTCTTTAGTGGAGGGGATGGTTCCAGAAGACTGGAAAATAGGGGAGATTGTGCCTATCTTTAAGAAAGGCGACAAGCATGACCCAAGCAACTACAGACCGATCAGCTTAACCTCAGTTTTATCCAAAGTTTGCGAGTCATTGGTGCGAGATTCAATTATAAAACACTTACAAGAAACCGAGCAGCTATGTGACGAACAACACGGATTCCTACCACGTCGTTCCTGCATTAGTCAGCTTCTTACATGCTTTGAAGACTGGACTAAACAACTAGATGAAGGACGTCCTGTAGATGTGATTTACTGTGATTTTCAAAGAGCTTTTGATTCTGTTCCACACCAAAGACTGCTAAAGAAGGTTCAATGTTTTGGTATAAGAGGCCAAGTTCTAGCATGGCTTGAGGCATTCTTGACAAGAAGAAAGCAAAGAGTCGTTGTAAATGGAGTCAAGTCTGAGTGGGCACCTGTACTTAGTGGCATTCCGCAGGGGACAGTCCTCGGTCCGACTTTGTTCCTTCTCTACGTTGCAGACCTTCCCACCATGCTGAAAAATAAGGTTCGCATGTTTGCAGATGACACCAAGTTATATGGCTGTTCTGGGTCCAAACAGGAATGTCAGTCACTTCAAGCAGATATTCATGCTCTTGAGATGTGGTCAAAAGAATGGATGCTCCCATTTAACACATCAAAGTGCAAGTCCCTACATCTAGGAACAAACAATGCCAAGCAAAAATACACTGTAAATGACGTCCCATTGCAGCAAGTTTCAGAAGAAAGAGACTTGGGAGTCACAATTGATGAAATGCTAAAATTCAGAACTCAAGCAGCAGAAGCAGTTAAAAAAGCTAACCGTGTGCTTGGTGCAATACGCAGATCATTTGCCAACATCGACTCACAGACCCTTCCGCTCCTATACAAGACTTTGGTAAGGCCTCTGCTTGAATATGGCAACGCTATCTGGGGACCTCACAATAAAGAAGACCAGTTGATGGTGGAAAGGGTCCAGCGGCGGGCTACAAGGTTGGTAAGCCACATACGTGATCTGCCGTACAGTGAACGTCTTCGAATTCTAAGGCTTCCTTCACTCCAATATAGAAGAAGAAGAGGCGATGTTATATTATGCTACCAGGTAATGCACAGTAAGCTTGATCTGCCAAGGGAAAACTTCTTTGCTGAGCCCACATGTAGAATTACAAGAGGTCACCCGCTCAAGGTCGCAAAGCCCCATGCCCAATCGAGGGCAAGAAGCAATCACTGGAGCATACGAGTCATTAATGACTGGAATTCTCTACCTGCAGAGGTTGTAATGGCCCCATCACTGAACGAGTTTAAAGCATTGTTAGACAAGCTATGGGCAAGAGAAAAATACAGGCATCTTTAGAAGTCAAGAGCCAATTATAACAATGATACTTGCTACATGATAAAAAATCACGGTTAAACTACTTAGAAGATTAAGAAATTCAAACAAAGAGCGAGCAAAACAGGTGTAGAACACCTCAAACAGCTCGTATTCTACAAGGTACAAGGTACAAGGTACAAGGTACAAGCTCTTAAGGGGCAGTGACTTTATATGCATGTATTCACTTGCCTTTTTTGCTGTTTTTGTAGTTCTCATCTTAGCTCTAGTTTTGAAGTTGTAGTTTTGAAATGAAAAATTCTTCTTACCGAAATCTTCCATCTGACAGCCCGTGAAAGTTCATCTGCGGACTTGCTGTGTAGGCTACGGCAACAACAACGCTAAATTCAAGTTTATGCCGTGACCATTTCATATTTGCGCCCATTTCGTGACCATTCCATTACCTTCCCTTGAACATTCCAAATTCGTCTCAATTCATCTCTCTGACCTTTCCATTCCAATGCTCAATCTGTGACCATTTCATTTGAATAACCATCCTATCGCTATGATTAGGTATAATAAAATAACCGCGACTTTGGCCATTTCCATAGGTACCTAGATATTTCATTCCAGTACCATGCTCTGACCGCCCGATATCCATGATCATCCATAACCCCCCTTACCCCTCCCCCTCCTCAGGTTCGGTGAACTGGTCCGGAAACTGTGGAACCCCCGCAACTTCAAGGCGCACGTCTCCCCTCACGAGATGCTGCAGGCGGTGGTGCTGTGTAGTAGGAAACGGTTCCAGTTCACCGATCAAGGTGAGAAATACGGGACAGATGGGATGGTGGGGTTGTTTTAGTCTTTTACTGTTATTGAGGAGAGTGAGATATGAAGCATCGATTGCATTACTCATATCGGCAAGAGATCAGGTTTAGCTATTTCGATTTGTAACGTTATCTGCTATTGCTGCATCTGCTATCCCTGCATACAGCATTATCTGACCTATCGCGCATTTCAGATCGTACAGAGACTTTTATCGTGTTGTAATACCACCCTGTGCCCTCAGATGACCTCGTTGACCTCCAGACCCGCTGACCTTTTCGTCATGGTTTCTAAACACGCTGTTACCTCATCTGACGTCTTTGACCCTTACTGACCTCGTGCCCTTAGCTGACCTCGTGCCCTTAGCTGACCTCGTGACCTTAGATGACCCTGTTAACCTCAGCTGACCTCGTTAACTTCAGATAACCTCTCTGACCTAATGAGTGACATCGTTGACCTCCACATGACCTCGTTAACCTCAGATGACCTCTCTGACCTCCAGGTGACCCTGTGACCTTTCTGTCATGGTTCCTGAACGCTCTTCACATGGCGCTGGGAGGCACCAAGAAGCGAAACTCGTCCATCATTTACAAGGCTTTCCAGGTAAGGGACAGGAAGAATTTACGAACTTTTGTGATACTGAGCACTGACTGCGACAGTTCAGTGCCTACTGAGATGATGTTTATTTATCGTTTATTGTTTATTGTGCCTTCGTTCATGCTATATTCTGAAAATGTCAAAATGAAAACAAAACAGGAAATAAGCTTACTGATTTCTTTCATTTTACTGGCACAGTGGGTTACTTCCTTAGATATTAAGATGCCTATTGAGACAAGCGCTCACTGAGACTGTCGGTTTTTAGTGAGATAGGTGGGTTTTGCGTAACTAGTAGGGTAGGTACGTAATGATACTTTTCGGTACTATCGAGGGCAATCCGACACTTCGGGGCAGCCTGATTTCTGGTGAGAAAGCCGGGCGCTCGCTGACCTGATATGACCCAACCCAGTTGTTGTGGATGAATCCCTGATTGACTTGACCTGACGTGACCTGACCCGACCCGACCTTAGAGGGCAGGCAGTGGATCTACACTATAGTCGCCGACCGACCTTACCTGACCTGACCTGACCTGTCCTGACTTCCTTCAGGACAGGATGTGAGTCTGCAGTTGTCTGACGTGACCTAACATACACATTTTAATCTTCCCCCAGGTTAGAATGTGGATGTAGTAAATGTCTGACCTAACGTGACATCCCCCGGGGCGGGATGAGTGTAGAGAACATCTGACCTAACCTGACCAAGCCTGACCTCCCTCAGGGCCGGATGCGAGTTTAATATCCATCTGACCTAACCGGACCTGACCTGACCTGGCCTGATCTCCTCAGGGTCGGATGTAAGTTAAGCATCAATCTGACCTGACTTGGCCTGACCTCCTCAGGGTCGGATGTAAGTTAAGCATCAATCTGACCTGACCTGACGTGACCTGACCTCCTCAGGGCCGGATGCGAGTCTACAGCCGGCGGATGCCTCCAGAGGACCTGACGGCGGAGCAGAAGAAGGAGCTTCTCGAGACCCCTGAGTGAGTGCGCATAGCTCCAGTCTTCCTTCAGTTTCTCCTCTTCGGAGACTCAATCACATGGTGCAGTCTTATAAATGGTGTATAGGTACTATATGTAGGATTGGGCGGACCTAGTTCTCTTACAATGGCGTGCACCTATTTTTGTCATGGTTAGGTAATAGGTTAAGCCCACCCCGCTGAAGTAATGTACGGTTTTACCAATCTCAACAGATGGCTTTGACTGACGATTTTTTTTTTTACTGATTGATTCAGGAGTATATAGCAAACGACAAACTTGCGGCTGCAAACATGACGATACATGTAAGCTACATTTCAAGTTTCATTGTAGTCTGGCAAATCGTTTCTTAGAGACAGAAGCAAACCATAACCACGACGGAAACCGTGCATTGCTTATGCGGTGGACTGTGCCATATGAAGTGATCGGTGGATCGTGTTTCCTTTTTCCTATTGTAATCATGTATTTCCTTTTTCATTTCCTTTTATGATTGGGTATGGTATGATGGTAACAACTATAGTGAATGGATCGTGTGTGTCTCCCCTCACTGACCTCGCTCGCCTTGCTCTCGCTCGCCGTCCTCAGATACCAGGAGACGCGGGAGGAGATGCCGTTCCTGTACTTGACCGCCGACCTGCCGGCACCTCCGCTCTTCAGGGATGAGCTCAAAGAGAACATCATCCCGCAGGTGAGCGTTATCTTACATGGATTTATCGTATTTTTGGGGTTATACCAAACAGTGAATTGTAGACTGTAGCGATTAGGGATCGGCTACCTCAGGGTTTATCACCTAGCTTCGCGAAATACAGCTTACACTTAATCTTCTCGCCGCCAGGTGTCTCTGTTCACGCTTCTGAACAAGTTCAACGGCAAGGAGGAAAAGGAGTACAAAACCTACAAAGAAGAGATCGTCAAGCGGTTCGAACTGACGAGACTGCCGCCGTACCTCATTCTCTGCATCAAACGCTTCACCAAGAACACCTTCTTCGTGGAGAAGAACCCCACCATCGTCAACTTCCCCATCAAGGTTGGTGCCGTGAAAACCGGATAATGGGATAAATCATAAAGGTGATGTATAGTAGGCCCAAAATTCGCATAGGTACTGTATCTGATTTCATAATGTTCCAAGAATAAGTGGATATTTCTTTCTTGCGTTTATAAAGCTTACTCATTGCCTCATTTTATCAGTCATTTCGGATTAGCGATTTACTAGAACATCAAAGACTTGCAATCTTTTAAATCCCAGTTCATCAAACACCACCTTTCTTCCCAATTCGTTAAGCATGACTAACACACCTAAGAATCGCCTGTTTCAAATGCCGCCTAAATCTCCGTCCCACCGATAAAACTCCGTGACGGGAATCGAACCCACGTCTCTCCGTAGAACATCGACCTGGCCGAGTACTTGGCGCCCGACTGCGCCGCCGCCGCCGGAGAGACTGTCTATGACCTCATCACCAACATCGTACACGATGGAGAGCCGGGGGCCGGCAAAGGAACCTACCGCTGCCATACGCTTCATCGGGTTAGTGGTAAACGTGATTTTTAGTTTTATGTGTTTAGTTTTATGCTTTTAGTCTATTTTTAGTTTTAGTGCAAGCTGTATTCTTGTGTGTGCTTGTATTGTTTCCATTTCTGAAGGGGTGTTGAAGAAGTCTTTTGACGAAACGCGTCCACCCGAATGTGTTGTGTCTGTCTCAATATATACATAACATTCTAATTTCTAGCCCTTGGAAGACGACATAATTCCTGAATAAAAATTATGGTCGCAAAATGACTCTAGTAGTTGGCGCGCCGTAAAGCTCCGATAAACAAACAAACTGAGTAAATAATTCCACAAATAAATGAGTGGTTACTACTTACTACAATATCAGCATAAGCAAAGATTTGTGTATAATAGCTGAAGCGCTTTTTGTTTGAATTTTTACATTGAAAATAATCCTAAGCTCTCTAATATTTTTTGCGGTATCTTACTTATTTTGATTCAATTACCCTCTCTGTGAAAAAAATATATTTAATAGATCCTGTGATAAATATGACATTTATTATTTCCATTACAATGTACAATAATGCATTTTGTAGTTCGATCATTGTTTTCAGTCATATAATTTTTGTATGATTTTCAGTTTTTTTCATGAAGTTTTATTTCATATAGTTTATATTTTTCTTATGGTAGGTATTTCAGGGAGTTTCTAAGATATGATGTAACAAACAACAACTTACATATTCGTGAGTATTTGACGCCCGATTTTTCCTTCTTTTTTTTTTTTTGTCAGGGAACCGGCCGATGGTACGAGCTGCAGGATCTGCACGTGCGAGACATTCTCCCCCAGATGATCACACTCACAGAGTCCTACATCCAGGTGAGCAGTCATCGACAGGTCGACGGTTCGAATCCCGGTGCTGATCGGTTTTTACGCTGTGATTATCCTAAAGTGGCGGGTCATATATATTTTATGTTACCTTCGGGTGGGTTGATATCGGCTGCGTTTGTGGCATTGTAGTTAGTAGTATCAGGGAAGAGAACAGACATTTTCTATGGCCTTTCGACGTGAAGTAGAAATTTTACATACTAGCTATGGGTGGAAGTTATTTAGTTTGATCAACGTTGCCGGACGGGTATTTTCTCTTCGTATTTCTTTCTTCAAGTTTTGCAGGTGATTTTTCCATGTAAGGCAAGTGTCGTATAATTTTATGTAAGTGAGGGCTTTTCAATTTATAGAAACACTGAAAATGATACAAAATGTTATATTTTATTAACTTTTAACCGTTGACATCAACTCTGTTTCCTGTCGACAGATCTACGAACTACGGCAAACGCCGACCGACAAGTCATGATGACGTCAGACACCGACCAATCGGCAGGCCGGCTCACTGCCTTTCATCACCACTGATGACATCATACGTTGTGGTACTGTGTGCTGACGTCGTGATGACGTTTCTAACTTAATACGTGTTGATATCACGTCATTTGTGCTTTTGACATGATGTCGTGACGTCACTGGTGGTATTATGCGCGGTCCAATGACGTCATTTCACTGATCAGCGCGAAAAGAGACCCCACTGTGCTAGTACTGTCACCATGCCTGCTGACTGCTGATGAATGAAGTGATGCCTTGTTTGTAATAGACAAATGGTCTTTCTAAGGGCTCTTTTCGTAAGCGGATTCGCTTTTATGACATACCCCGGGTATGACAGACAACGAAGGCGAAACCCGATACCGTCTGAAGTCCGAGCGCCCTTAATCGCAAATCATGAGCGACTTTTTTTTAGTTAAAAATTTAAATCAAAATTAGATTTAATTTAGTTGGTACCTGCTTAAAACATATTGTATTGTTTTTCAGCTACGTGGGTTAGCTGTCCGTGGGCAGGCATTGTGTGACGCTACTTGGCCATTTCTTTCCACAGTGAAAATGTTAGACGAGACACTGCCACTTGGCTATGTCAGTCTTGTCAGAGTTTATTACATAGCGTCTAAAAAAGATGTCACCCTTTCCGCGCTGTGTTTCTTTTTCTTCTTTTTCGGAGGGTCGAGAAATGTCTATTTTATCAGGGGTTATAACCAGCTTTCGCATAAGGTAAAGTTTATCAACTAAACCTGTGTGGTGTCAATAGCCAAGGGGAGGAGTCGACATCGATTTTAAGCTGGCGTCAACGCTCCACCTAGATAATGCATCAATCGATACTCGTGCATATATGCACGATATACACCTATCTGTGTCCACTGCCAAGAACTATCAGTAGCGTGCTAACTCAGGCATGCTTCATGACCAGTCCCCCTGATAGGTTATCATGAGCTACTGCCGGGCGCCGGCGTCCTAACCACCTCAGCAAATAGAGCACATTATCCGTGCGGAATTTTCAATGAACAGTTGAGCGCAGTTTGCTGGGAAACTTAGCGGGACGGTGAGGGTCTCCGTGACGAACTTAGGAAAGTGACTGTGTTAAAATGTGGCTGTTGTACCAACTACTGCTGAAGTTTCTGGTGCTGGCCTGCCTATCGGTGGCCGCCGGCGCCGCCGCCACCATCCTGAACGGTCTCCTGGTGTACGTGCGCCACCACCTGGCCGGCAGCAGCCGACCGCGCGACGATTATGTTACTAAGAAGTCTTTACTCCTGCTCGTGTCGTCTACTCTGGCCGCGCTGCTGCTGCTCACCCAGACCAGGGAGGTGCCCTGGGAGTGGCTGGGAACGCTGGCGCTGCTCGTGGCCATCGCGCCGGCCCTGCTCACCTGGCTCGGGCCGCTCAACGACCACGTCGAAAACTGTCAGCTATGCCAGATCGGCAAGGGCAGCGCTTACGGACACTACTTCGGCTACCTTCGGCTCATGGAAGGCGAGCACGGCATTCGGCAGCGTCTGGAGGAATTCAAACGTGAAAACCTTGTGGGCTTTCCAGAGAAAGTGCAACATAGATTCTACTCTAAAGCAGTAGTAGTGCTTGCGCCCAAGGATGGCTGTTACCCCGAGCAATGGGACAGACTGCAAGGTGTGGGGAAGATCACTGGAACACTGCGGCCTTTTCAACGCTACGTGGGCGGCAATCTGCGTACCTACGGGGCCTTCAAGGTGCATGAGGTGGTGTCGAGGGATGGCGAGGACAAGATATATGTGGCGCTGGACAAGGTGGGAGCCCTGGAAACCCTCCAGAAGCTGCATCATCACGGTCCAGAAGGCCTCAGCGCTGCCGACTGCCAGCAGCAGATGAAGAAGTTGATGGAGGAGCTCGAAGAGATCGTGGCTTGCAATGAGCACCTGAAAAGCCAGCTGAAGTTTGTCAGATATGACGCCGACGAGCATGTCGGGGACGCCATCCTGCGGACAATTACAGAGGACTAGGAATCAGGGTCTGGCGTCAGACAGGTGTGATGTCTTGGGAGGAAATGAACTGAGTGAAGTCACGGCTTTAGAGTAGCGGATTACAATAACGACTTACAGCAACGGAACTGGTTATAATAACGACTTGGAGCAACGGATGTGATTACAAAAATGAGTTAGAGGAACGGAACTGATTATCACGGTGACTATAAATAAATACTGATTACAATAACGACTTAGAGGAACGGAACTGATTACAATAGCCAATTAAAAGAACGGAATTGATTACAATAATGAATTAGAGGAACGAAACTAAGTGGAGCGATGACTTGGGACGATCTGGACGGTGTGGAGTGATGACTTGGGACGAAGTTCGATGTGGAGTGATGACTTGGGACGAACTGAACGATGTGGAGGGATGACTTGGGACGAACTGGACGATGTGGATTGTGGAGTGATGACTTGGGACGAACTGAACGATGTGGAGTGATGACTTGGGACGAACTGAACGATGTGGAGTGATGACTTGGAACTCAACGAACTGGACGGTGTGGAGTGACGGCCTTAGGGCGGCGATTTGATCGATGTATGTGTGCCGGTAAATTTTAATACACTTCGTTATTCAAAGAGATTGCACATGTGACTGTGAGCTGAGGAACACGTGAGCTCAGAAGGGCAACAGAAAGGGGTGAACAAGCCGCTTCTTAGGTTGGTAGGTACTACCTACTACGCAATTAAAAGAACTTAGAACAAATATGAATGATCAAACGCTCTTTCATTATTGACGAAATCTTCGAGGGCTCCTTTAGCAGACAAATGACACGAAAAGTGACATGCTTGCGATACCGTTTCAATCGGCAACTGTCATGGTGTAGGTTGTATAAGATGTGACTATGTGAAAAACAATATGCGAGCTTTTCTGTCATTTTTACCCGTCAAATAAAACAAGCAACCATCCTGCCGGCTGCCAATCTAGCAGATTTTGATCTCCATCGCGTAAATATGCATGAATTTCAATTCAGGCCTGCTATTTAGGCTCGATGCTTGAACTTAAATTGAGGCCTGCCATTTGGGCTCATCACAAAACACGGGTCAAGCGACGTGGAGGGCCGCGAACTCCCTGTCACCTGCCACCGAGTTAGGAGACCGACGCCTTCCGACGCCTTATCCACCCTAGGCCACGGGGAGGACCACAGTAACATAACATAATAATTTTTAGTAGGTTTGTGTAATTGTCATTCATTGCGTTTCTTGTAACAACAACAAAGCGTTGCCTTATGGGATAAGTTCGATTTGTTTGTTTCTTACCTCGGGAACTTATAAACATACTTCTCAATGGTAATAGCAACATGGCGGCGACTGTTCAAAATAATATGAGCCACTTTGACTTAATTTATTGCAATTTCGGTAAAAGATTTAGCGGCGTCTGCATGGTAATTCCATGGTAATTGGGTAATTCGTTCGTTATTACAAATATTGCTATCAGATCAATCAGTCACCCAATCATACGCAGATATTTGCTGCGGAATCGCTGTTTGCCAACCTTGTCCTTAGCCGGTGAGCTTGAATTTTCTATTCGTCCTACAGCAACTTGAATCGCATCACGCGGAAATCAATTAAAATTGAAAAACGCCCATCACTTTCTTGAATATGGATTGAACCAAGCAGGCTGGGACGTAGCAGGTGAAATGTTAGGTTGGGTACTCAGTAGGTCAAGATTGGATAAGTCATTGGGTGTAGGTAGGCATTTGTTGAAGGACATAGGCGGCGGAACAGGGAGGGCACCGGGGCACCGTGCCCCCCTTTTATTTTGGCATTTTAACATTAGCCCTATGGGCGTTGCATGGAAATAATGGGACCTAAAGTCGGCTGTGCCCCCCTTGATTGAAGGTGTTCCGCCGCTACTGTTAAAGAAATTGGGCCTCCCACCATAGAGAATAAATGAATTGGCATAAAAGTGGTGTCGCATAGTTCAGATTGAGCAAAACTGAGTCTTTGCCAAATTTCATTGAAAAATAACCGGTTTCTGACATCTTGACAATTTCTTTTATTTATGTTTAGGAGCCTTCACTGTTCCTTTGGAGTCATTTCAATTTGGAAGCAATCTGCAATATTTTGGTATCTTTAAAGTGCAGCAGATGTTGCAGCATATACCACCACTGTTTCACAAAGATGTTATTATAAGAGTATAGCTAAATCTGCGCTGACGTCATAAATTCAGAGGGGGTATTTAAATGCATTAGCCCCTCTGAATCCAAAGTACTGTAACTTTGAAAATAGATATACCTATACTAGGGTGACCCGCTTGCTCCCCAATGCTATAGGGGTACTTTCGATCGGTGGGTGTTTTTTTTTTTGGGTCTGCATAACTAAAAATGGTTATGCAGAGGATGGACGCTTGAGCCCTGGCAGCTTCGTGCCCTAATCCAACAAGAACAAGGTGATGCAGAGGTTTGAAACATGTATATTTTTAAGAATACTATTGCGGTTCATGCGAAATGATAAATGGAGCTTAGAGAGAATTGAATGCTCTTTCCAATGATACCATTCTCAATTGTTAAACTTATCAGGTTATGCAGCAGAAACCGTGTAATTATTTAGTGGCACATTATGGACAAATGCCATTTTCTCCAGCGATTTGTTCCGCCTTGTTTTCGATCAATTAGCTTTTCACAATTTTCCATGAAAGGTGGTACAGTTAGCTTGCCAACAGGCGTTGTTTGAACTTGCTCCATCTGACAGTCACCCGAAAATAGCATTAAGTCCAAAATCCGTCCGAAATGTCAATTTTCCAAATAAAAGTGCCCTCACCGGTGCACGTGGCGCGTGCCATTTCCATGCACCGCACACCATTCGATTGCCCGTTCGATTCTCTACACGATGCTGTTTTCCCCGTATACCGATCGGGCCCACGGTTACAGAGATATTGCACGGGGATCGGACCCGTGTCCGTTAAATTTAGTCATTTTTGCTCGATTTTGCAAGCCGATTTATACATGTAAAGTCTATGACGCGAATTTGCACTTTTTGGGCGCGCGCCATGTGCTCACCAATCACCATCGGCCCGATCGAACTGAGACCCCTCAAAGGCACGTTGCCCATCCTTGTTCTATAAGTTGCGCAAATTTCAGCGCGCCAGGTGCGACGGTCTGACCTGTGACCCGCGCTACGTAGCGTTACCTAAGCTTCTAGACAGTGACAGACCCGCCCACCACTCACCAGGCATGGCACAGATCCCAGGTCAACCAGTCACGAAAACTGAGATGGCCATTAGATTGACGGTCTTCAAGTCTGGAATTATGGTGGAAAACATGACTGCTAGAAGTCTCTCAATGAACCAACTATTTTGCATTCTTTCAGAGTTCGTTCTGAGGAAATCCGCGAAGAGTACTAGCTGGCCGCTGATCAGGGCTCAGATAAAGGCTAGCAAATCAGTTTGACATGCTAGAGGTCATTAATATTTTTTGAGCTATGATAGAGAATCAGTGGTGAAATGTGCTACAATCGCTATATGCATTTATAGGTAGCATCACTAGCATTATCGTCATTGTCTGCAAAGAAAATAAATCACTCTAAATACTGTAATAGCATTACAGTATTTACAGTGAATGATAGCATTGAATATTCATGAGCACTCATCTTGCTAAATTCCATCAAAATCGTAATATTTCAACTTATATTACCATGTTGCTGCTTCTGCTGGACAGAAGCTGTTCTAGATCCACAGTAGATACTACAATTATACTGAGACACATTTATACCAGTTGGGGATATTCTATAGGTAAAAGTGATTTCAGTTCTGTTATACTTAACCCGACACATCTACGCTAACTTTGAGTATGACCTTTTATTATTCATTTTTACAGGTTCTGTAACATCCACTTCCATCTTCAATACTAAACATCACTGATTCAGCATCTTCACCAGCTAGTTCGTCACCCTCATCACCTTCAGCACCTCCTCCGTCATCACCAACACGATGCCTTCGCGATCGGGCACTGTGAAGATCTTCCTTGGAAACCTGAGTGACTCGGCGACACCAGATGATGTACGGCCGCTGTTTGAGGAATATGGCACCGTGGTCGAGGCCGATGTCATCAAGAACTATGGCTTTGTGGTGAGTGAAGGGGAAATCCACTTTTGCTGATCCGGATCACAGGTGACCATGGAAACCGGGCTATTGACCCCATCTAACCTATCTGACCGTTTTACCCCTATTTAACCTCATACGCCCCCATCTGACTGAAGTGTTATCTGACCTACCTATGTGACCCCTATATGAGCCCCATCTCAACCTCTACATGGCCTCTATACGACTCCCATCTCTGACTGTATGACCCCTGTATGACCACTACACGACCTTATCTCGGGCCCATCTCTGACCCCTAAAAGACCTCGTGACCCCTATATTATCCCTATTTAACCTCTGTCTGACTCCTATATGACCGCATATGACCTATCTGACCCGTATACGACCTCTATCTATTATCTGACCCCTATATTGCCCCTATATAACCTCTATCTGATTCCTATATGACCCCATAATACCTATCTGACCTGTATACCTCCTCTGTCTAACCCCCATAGGACCTATCTGACTCCTATACGACCTCTATCTGTTTATACAACCCCTACATGACCCCTATACTACCTCTATTTAATCCCTATGTGACCCCTATATGACCTCTGACCTCCCGCGCAGCACATGGAGAGTGAGCCGGACGCACAGCGGGCCATCGCCGCTCTGAACGGTAAAACGGTGCGCGGAAAGCCAATGGTGGTGGAGATGTCAACGGGAGTGAACCGACGCAGCCAGGCCAGACGTGGGAGGTGAGAGGGGAGTGGGCGCAGCTTTCTATGGGGGTTAGTGGGGAGTTTTATAGGGGTAGACTCTTTTGGTGGAAGGAGACATGTATAGTCGACTACAGAATGATGTTCCACTCCTCAGAAGCTATCAGTTGACCAGAGCGCTAAGTTGTGCCGTTTATCACGCAATTTATAAGCGTGTCGATTGTGAGCATTGGGACAAAGCTATAATTTGTGAACTCAGCCCGTGTGATGCGGCACAGCCTACCACTCCAGGCAAATAATTGCCTGTGAAAAGTGGAACATCATCCTGTAGTCGACCATACAGGGTTGGGAGGGATGATGGGTTGGGGGGATGTTGCTTTGGGTGGGCACCATGGGGAGTCGTCGGAGCTGAGCCCGTCACGAGAACAGGACACTAAGCCCCACTGAAGCCTGAAACAGACTCTTTCCGCAGTCAGGAAATCGCATGCGAGAGCCTATTCAAGCACATGGAAGCACGCTCGTATCAATCGCACGCACTTCTCTCATGTGATTGATACCGGACGAACTACAATGTATTTGAATAGGCTCTCGTATGCGATTTCTTGCATGCGGAAAGTCTATTTCAGCCTTAACGGTCACCCCACCACCCGATAGGCCTGGTTCTGAGGAGTCACTAACGTCGAATTAAGGTGACTGTCCAGCCCGGATCAGGGGTTGAGGTTTGTAGGAAAGGGATTTGACTATCCCGAGGGTGGAAACGATGGAATGGTGAACAGCTCATGGATGTTGGTTTATATAGGTCTGATGGTGTCCAATCCCAACCAAGACTCTCTCTGCGTGTTTAAGATCTGAAATGCTACAGTTCATCCTGTTTCTTCAGATGTAAGATTTTTCTATTTTAGAAATATCCACAAATACTCCGCAATCGCTCCAAACTAACACTCATTTTCCCTCAGCTGTAAGATATTCGTCGGAAATCTCCACAAATACGCCACAATCGCTCTAAACAAACACTCATTTTCCCTCAGCTGTAAGATATTCGTCGGAAATCTCCACAAGGACTCCAAAATCGCTCTAAATTAACACTCATTTTCCCCCAGATGTAAGATATTCGTCGGAGATCTCCACAATTAGCACATCTCAGTTGTCTCAAGAAGCACCCCGTTTCTCCCCAGATGCAAGATATTCGTCGGAAATCTCCACAAGGTCTCCACAATCGCTCTAAATTAACCCTCGCCCCGTTGGGGGGGGGGGCCATTTTGGCCCCCCCCCCCTGTGGTTTTTCCTGAATAGCAAGAAAACGGCGGCGCGCAGCGCCGCCAAATTTTCAGTACCTTCCCGGGCATCAATTTGACACCTTCACACCAAATTTCAAGCCTTAGGTCACCTTAGGTCAGGAGTTATTGAGGTCAAACTGAGGTCATGTTCGAGCAAAAATGAGCAAAAAACATGCAATCTTGAAACGCTCACCAAATCTACAGTTATCAAGCAATTTCAAAGTTCTTTATATGGTCTAGTAGACAAAAAGCGGCGCTACAAAACTGCTATCTCGGATTTTCAAAATTTTTGGTTTTTGACCCAAAAAAATTCAAAAAATTGATTTTTTTAGAAAAACTTTGAAAAAATCCAAAATTTTTCCGAATTTCGAAAAAACCGGAATATATGTGATAGTCCCAGCGCTCTTCTATATACATACCAAATTTCAGATCGATATCTCGTTTTTTGGCCAAGTTATAGCGAAAAAACTGTTCAAAAATGATGACGTCAAATTTTTGAACTCAATTTTTAGCAATTCTAGACCTCGTACGGCAAAACAAAAACCACCATTGAACTCCCCGTGACGAGCTGCATCGATTCGATACCCATTTTATGCAAAAATATTAACTTTGAAATTTGACCTAATTTGACCTGACCTTGACCTGACCTTGACCTGACCTTGACCAAAACGTGATCTAAGCTGGCCCCAAAGGCTGCCTGACCCATATAATCGCATTTGTCATGTAAAATGGACCATAAAACATGTATCACACGACACTTTCATATTGTGACCTCCCCGTGACCTGACCTCTGTGACCTGACCTGGTATCAGTGACCTCAAATAGCAAAATATGTGTTTGAAGAACATTTCCCCATCGATGATTTTCAATGAAATGCATTTTACTCGATTTTACAACGCATTTCTTGAAGTGCCTGTAAACGGTGAAAATTGGACCTTTGACCTGACCTGTGACGTCATCGGTTTGACCTAGGTCAATAAAATTGGGTCACAAGGTAGTTCCCCGTTGGGGCTATCCAACGCCGTTTACCGCTTGTCGCTATGTTGCGTGGTTCTCGAGATCTTAGGGGGGGGGGGGGCCAAAATGGCCCCCCCCCCCCCAACCGGGCGCGTTGCTCGGCAGAGCCCAACGGGGCGCGGGTTAACACTCATTTCCCCCAGATGTAAGATTTTCGTCGGAAATCTCCACAAGGTCACGACAACTGACATACTCAACTAGCATCCTGTTTTCTCTAGATGTAAGGTATTCGTCGGAAATCTCCACAATTAGTACATCTTAGTTGTCTCAAAAAGCACCCCGTTTCTCCCGCAGATGTAAGATATTTGTCGGAAATCTCCACAAGGACACGACAACTGACGAACTGCGCGGCCTGTTCCTTCCGCACGGGAATGTCGTCGAAGCGGACATCATCGCCAACTATGCTTTCGTGGTAAGTCCTGTCACTGACGTCAGAGGCTAGTGTGACTGTGACGTCAGTGCATGTGTGATGTCATATAATTGTTTGATGTCATGTCTTTGTGATCATATGATGTCATGTAATGTAGCGTCATATGCGGGAGTTATGACTGTATTGTTGGGTAGTTATTGCATATTGTTTGATGACATTATGATATTATTTGTGATGTTACATTGCATCATGTGTGTTATAATTTATGAAATCATTGAAGATGTGTGAAATAGATAATGCATTATGTTTTGTAAAGTCATTTATGATATGCTCCTACGACATATCTGCTGCTTTACCAAGTAACTAAGCCAAACCAAGCAAACGCTTACCTCCCCTTACCCCCTAACCCCCTCCTTTACCCCTCACCGCTTACCCCCATAACCCCCCGTTACCCCTTCCCCAGCACATGGAGACTGAGGACCAGGCCCAAGCCGCTATAGACGCCCTCCAAGGTGTACAGCTTCACGGCCAGGAGGTCCGTGTACAGCTGTCGACGAGTAGTGTCAGGCCGGTCCCAGGGATGGACAGAGCCGATATCTGCTTCAGATGTGGCAGTCCCGGACATTGGAGTAAAGATTGTGGACGGTAAGACGGGGGGAGGAGGGGGAGGGTGGGAGGGAGGGGGAGAGAGAGAGAGAGAGAGAGAGAGAGAGAGAGAGAGAGAGAGAGAGAGAGAGAGGGGGAGGAGGGTTCGATAATCTTGGGTTCGACAGAGGGCTAGCGAGAATCCACCGTCTGATGAATAAATGCTTGTTACATGGGTCAGAGAAAATATGCTTTGGTCTACCTACTTGTTATCATTTACCCACCCCTTATTCTCCCCACAGTCAAGAGGCAGTCCCCTAACTATCCCTACAGTCAAAGGGTGTTACCTATTCAATGATTCATTGCCTTATCTCTCTCCCGACAGCAAAGAGAAACCCATAATAATAAACCTTTTCCATGTATCTCCCCATCCATAGGGTTTTCTTGTCATTAACCTCCCGACCCTTCTCTTTCAAAACCAAGAGGTATCTCGTGTTAACTCTACCACACACAAATTCTTAAGTCAGCATTAATTCAAAGTGTGTCATGTACATTACAAACCATAAGGGGGGCTTTTATACGCCTTAGGAGGGGCGATTCACGGTATTGCATTCCAGAAGTAAATAAAAACATTTTACTCGTGATATTGTGAGAAAAAATTGCAGGGTGTGTACTTGTGATGTGTTGTGAACTTTTGTACCATTTTGTTCCTGTATTATGGAAAGCTAGCACTGACATAGATATGTTCGAAACGCGCTTACGAATGTTTTCTCTAATACAGTACCTTTATATTTAAACATTTCACTTATCTAGTCTAGTCAAATATGTCATAATGAGCGCATAGGCGGCGGAACGAGGAGGGCACCGGGGCACCGTGCGGCGTGCCCCCTCTTTGATTTTGGCATTTTAACATTAGTCCTATGGGCGTTGCGGTAGGCAGACAACTGAACCAGTGACCTGAACCAGGGACAACTGAACCAGTAAAACTGAACCAGGGACAACTGAACCAGTGACAACTGAGCCAGTGACAACTGAACCAGCGACAACTGAACCAGTGACAACTGAACCAGCGACAACTGAACCAGTGACAACTGAACCAGTGACAACTGAGCCAGTGACAACTGAACCAGAGACAACTGAACCAGTGACAACTGAACCAGTGGACAACTGAACCAGTGGACAACTGAACCAGTGGACAACTGAACCAGTAGACAACTGAACCAGTGACAACTGAACCAGTGACAACTGAGCCAGTGACAACTGAGCCAGTGACAACTGAACCAGTGACAACTGAACCAGTGACAACTGAACCAGTGACAACTGAACCAGTGACAACTGAGCCAGTGACAACTGAACCAGGGACAACTGAACCAGTGACAACTGAACCAGTGTCCAGTGTCACTAACCAGTGACAACTGAACCAGTAGGTATGGCAACTTAACCAGTGGACAACTGAACCAGTGGACAACTAATGTCGTACTGCGCTGTATAGGTATAAGGTAGCGCGTGGCTGGACGGACGGTCTGTGCCAATCTGCCGGTCTGCCAATTGATCTGTGTCCGATCTATTAGAGTGTCCGTACGAGAGCCGTACGACGGCTGACAGGGCTGACAGCTAGCCTGGTGGTCGCGAACTGGTGTGGTAACCGTTACGCCCACCTGGGACGCCCGAATAATTAGCAACGTATAAATAATATTCACTTTGATGGCTTATCTCGGGACAGACAGGACACGCAACGTGGGCTTGGCAGAATTCAGCCCGCCTGGGCCCAGAGGAATCTCTGGTATATAAATGGATTCACTGCTTGGGCTTACATCGGGCTTACGTCAAACGTCGCACAATTAGGATTTAGGGCTAAACAACGGCTGTCCCGAGCTCGCCGAGAGGGCATATACCTCCGGCAGAGCATGGGCTTTAGTCGGCGTTTTTGTGTCAAACGCCGACTTTAGTCTTTAGCCCAAGCGCTTGCCGACTTTAGTCCAAGCGCTAGCCGACTTTAGCCCGACTAAAAATATCGGGCAAGCCGCACTTCAGCCTGCTTAGGCCCGGAGTAAAATTGCTTGCTGGGCTACTGGTTAGTGGTGCAGTTGTCACTGGTTCAGTTGTCACTGGTTCAGTTGTCCACTGGTTCAGTTGTCCACTGGTTCAGTTGTCACTGGTTCAGTTGTCACTGGTTCAGTTGTCACTGGTTCAGTTGTCCACTGGTTCAGTTGTCCACTGGTTCAGTTGTCCACTGGTTCAGTTGTCACTGGTTCAGTTGTCATACTGGTTCAGTTGTCACTGGTTCAGTTGTCACTGGTTCAGTTGTCACTGGATCAGCCGTCACTGGTTCAGTTGTCACTGGTTCAGTTGTCTACTGGTTCAGTTGTCCACTGGTTCAGTTGTCCACTGGTTCAGTTGTCACTGGTTCAGTTGTCCCTGGTTCAGTTGTCCCTAGTTCAGTTGTCACTGGTTCAGTTGTTCCTGGTTCAGTTGTCACTGGTTCAGTTGTCACTGGTTCAGTTGTCCCTGGTTCAGCTGTCACTGGTTCAGTTGTCCCTGGTTCAGTTGTCACTGGTTCAGTTGTCCTGGTTCAGTTGTCACTGGTTCAGTTGTCATGGAACCGGGCGTTGCATGAAAAGAATAGGACCGAAAGTCAGCAGTCTGCCCCCCCCCCCCCTTAATTGAAGGTGTTCCGCCGCTACTGAATGAGCGTTCAACATCTACCACTTTCCCTGTCTTCTCAGCCAAGAGGTGGCGCCGAGTGCCTACGCTGCCGTGCCCGCGGCGGCGGTGGACTGGAGTAGCTACTCCGCCGCTACGCTGGGGGCCCGTGAGAGGGCGCGTTACGCTCCCTACCCGGCCTACGCGCCGCCGCCGGCCTCTTACAGACGCGAGCCATACTATGAGGTGAGTAGACAGTCGGCTTTGGTGTTTATTGAGTATGTGCGAGTGTATAGTGTACGGGTATGTGAGCTGTCGGTTTTGGTATTTATTGAGTTATGTGTGAGTGTCTGTGTATGGTGTTAACACTACGGCCTCGTACAGACACGAGCCGTTTTATTAGGTGAGTGAGCCGTGTGCTAGTATTCAGTTAGTTATTTGATGTATAAAACTAGGGTGACCCGCTTGCTCCGCAACGCGAATAAGGGTTATTTTCGATCTGTGGGTGTTAGGATGGTCTGTGTCGGTTGGATATGTATCCACTTCGGCTTAAAACGTTCCGTATTTGTGGTGATAAGATTGTACTCGACGCTGTTTTGCAAAATTGTATATGCAAGTATGAAGACAGGAATTCGTGTTTCAATTTGCCTCGAACCGTATTTAAGTGGTCAGCAAGTGAATAGCAATTAAATTCAAATATGGTTTGACATATTCGAGCGAAGGTGACAACACATTTCTAAAATACCAGGCCGAAACATCTGGTATTTTGAAATTTTTGTCATCTTCGCCCGATTGCATAAAAACGGTAAGTCTCTTCCCCATCGATATATCTCTCCCTCCCTCCCTCCCTCCCTCCCCCCTCCCTCCCTCCCCCTCTCCTCTCTGTCCTCTGTCTCTCTGTCTCTCTGTCCTCTCTCTCGTCTCTGTCTCTCTGTCTCTCTGTCTCTCTGTCTCTCTGTCTCTCTCTCTGTCTCTCTCTCTCTCTTCTCTCTCTCTCTCTCTCTCCTCTCTCCTCTCTCCTCTCTCTCTCTCTCTGTCTCTGTCTCTGTCCCTGTCTCTGTCTCTGTCTCTGTCTCCTG